CCTCCCCACATTGCCGACTCATGTTCATCCTGGAGTCAGTCCTGTGTCTGTGTCCAAATCAGCATCGAATCTTCTGATTTGGATTCAGCTGAATCGAATCAGAGACAGTGATCCGAATCAATGAATTGAATACTGTCCCTGATTTGGGCCAAATCCGAATCGAATAGGGCCTGCTTTGCACACCCTTAATGGACATGCTTGCATACTGCTAGGATGCTAAGAGAACAGCAGTGTCCTTGTCCCTTAGTTTAAGGTACTGCGACACTGTCATCACACAACAGTGAGATCCTGCTGATGACAGGAAGAGAACATAAATGAAACAGAAAGGCACAGATAAGAAAGAGAGAAACCTGCATTTGCTTTAGTGTCAATGTTCCAGTTCCAATACAAATACAGAACCAAGGCCTCAGGCAGGCTGCAGCCAACTAGGATTGACTACAGGGAGATGTGTGCACATTCAGAGCTGACAGCTTTCCAAATCACCATGCTCAAAAAAAAAACAAACTATAAATAAAAAAATTAAAAGCCTGGTAATAACTAGAAACCCAGGCCTGCACCAAATGCCAGACCCTAGGTAAGACTCTCGCAATTACTTATTGCAGTGGTTCTCCAACTTTCTGGACTCAAGGCACCCCTCCATAACTTTTGTGATGTGAGTGGCACTCAATTTCAAAAACCAATTTATATATTAAAGTGCTTACCTCCTTACACGGGGTATAAGCAGTAGGGGTGGGAGGAAATCCAGGCAGGGACAAGCATGAGTTTGGTTTATCAGCTTAATTTATCTGCTTATGTCCTCACACCTCACTTATGTCCTTACACCTGGCAGCACCCCAGTTTTGTGAATCCCTTGCTTACTGTCTGCATAAAACATGGCTTCAGGACAGCAGATATCTCCACCCAGCAGTTCCTTCCCTGAATATGCAGTACCTGGTGCCTACATTAATGGAAAAAATATATTGCTCTGCAGTTCAAGAGGGGCCAAGGGATACACATCTGCATCAGATGTGGATGCTCACTTCTGCTGCAGATTATGGACAGCTTCAAATGAATGTAATGGAAATTATGCTATCTTGTGTAAAAAGAGATTGGGATAACCAAAGGAGTTTTGTACTAAATTCAGTTCTACAAATGCAAATTTTCTTTGTTTACTAAGCAGGTTCCTGGACCCTCAACGAGCTCAGCTCAGTCTTATACTCTGCCACTGCAGCAAGAGGAAGTATATATGTACAATTCTTTGCACACTTTTTTTTTCTTTTTAATGTCACCCCCCCCTTTTTATTTTTTTGGCAGGGGATGGGGGAGGTATGTCATTCGCATCAGGTTAATCCTATGAAACAGAGGAGGAAAATCCAATGATCCTAAGCAAAGAATGGGAGAGAAAAAAAAGCTTTCCAGCATATATCCCAGGCAATTTGTCTAACTGCCATCTCAGCCCTTACAGACCTAGGGAGTCTGCTGCAAGGGGGTGAAATCTTTTCAAGTCACTGTGCTTGGGGTTGGTCTTCTATCTGATGCAAGAGCAGGAGGGAGGACTAGACACCGCTTATTCTTTACGATTTTGCACAGTCTGAGTTCAGTAGGCTAAAATGGTGGGAGTGCATAGGACTAGCAAAGAAATGGAGTTGGCAGGAGTAGGACACAGTCACATAGGTCTTAACAACCTACTTTTTGTATCACAAACATAATTTCCAAGGTCAGTAAGCATTGATTCTCTCTCTTTACGGCAAAATATTACACTGATATCAAATAGCCTTTCTAAGTCAAGTGCTTGCAAACATTGCCTTATTTAAAAATGTCTAGCTCAGCATTTTAAACCTTCTTTTAATAAGTGGCTGACAGCAAAGAAATATGCTACAGCTCATCTAAGTGCTGACAGCATTCTTAAGAAGTTTCCTTATGAATAACAAGTTGAAGCACAATGGCACCACAGTAAAGATCCTTTCAGAGTCAGCATTTATGTGTTCTGTTAACACAAGGTCACCAACTGATTTTCCAGGGAGGAGCAGAAGTGAAGCTTGGAATGGTTAAAGCAGTTGTTGTAAAGCCTAAATGTCAACAGCAGATGCGCTAAAGCACACAAAACTGGCAGGCCCAAAACAGGGTGTGAATTTTCCTGTTTATGGGTTTAGTTGGCCCTAATACACTCCAAGTTGCTAAAGAACAGCTTTTTCCTAAAGAAAAAAAATGAATACATTTGTAATGCCAACACTGTTGCTGTAAAATTACAGGAAAGCAGTTAATCAAACATAACAAAACAATAAACACAAACGGTTTCTTTAGTTGTGAAATCTTCATTATTATGCTGAATATGTATAGCATTTTTAATAAGCACATCCAATCTTTCCCCCTCTGTTCTCATTCCAGTTCATAAGTATGGATGTTTTATTTTTCATCAGACTAATATTTGAAGATCTTTTAGATCGAGGGTTCCCAAAGTTGAGCTACTTCAAAAGGGACAGTCCTGGGTAATGGGCCACATCCAAGGGGCTTGTGGATCACACTTTGATAACCCTTCTTTCAGAGTGAATGAAGTCCATCCAGAACAGATGTTTTATCTGGAATGAATACTTAAATTGGGGGTTCTGCATTTGACCTATTCTGTTTTAGTGCTTACACTACATCCATGCTCCTCATTGGGGTGTTTGACTTTCTGCCAACATGCAGATGTGACAGTGTTCTAATGCGGCATCTCTGGGACACTTATCTGCCCTGTCGCCAGCACCATAACTCCCAACCCCTACCTTCAGAGGGTAAAGGAAAAAGGCATGTTAGTTTTAGCCTAAGCAGTTGTAAAACGCTTCAAAGACTAATTATGCTCAGGAAAGCTGGGAAGCTTAATTTCAACAGACTCACAAAATTGGAACCCTAAACAGGAAAGCAGGAAATAGTTTTCATCATTGCTGTGCTAGGTTATAGGGTCAGCAGCTCTTGGCCCCAAAGCAGAGAATCCCCTTTTCCATTTAAAGTGATAAAGCTAAGTCCCACTTGGATGGCATTCGCTAGGAAAGAACCCATGTGGAGAGGGAACAAAGAGGTGCATTTTGCAAACATGAGCATTAGTGTTTGCATAACATGAGGTAGCACTGCAAAAATCAGTTTGAAGTGTTAGGTTAGCAAAGGCAGCACAAACATGCTGCATCCCCAGCTGACCCAGCAGTGGTACCTGACAGATCAGCAGTCACAGCCTTCTGAGCCATGACAATGTGGGGATAACTGTCTTTCATAGTTATTGACTGAAAACAGAAGTAGCAGAACAAATGAGTGGGTAGAGGAGGAAACCTCCAGCTCTGACAGGCCGCATGCTGCTGAGCATCCTTGTAGCTTCCAAGTGGGATGAGAGAGAACAAAATTCTCTTGCTGCTGCAATTCTATTCTAGGAAGACTCATTGAAACAGCTTTCTAGTAACTTGCTTTAGGAAGAAAGGGCAGAAGTGTTGTTGTCATAAATTCTCTCCCCCTTCTCCCCTCCCAGCTGCCAATTCTGGCTTGGCAAAAAAAACCAAAACCAAAAACAAAACAAAACAAAACACACACACCTCCCTGAGAAAGTCCTTTGACTTTCTGGACCAAAGGGCAAAACATCAAGGGCCTAACTTTAGCCAGCATTACTGCATCGGAGAACACAGGATCAACACACAAAAGCTCACCTCTGATACCACAAGAGCTTAGTTTCAGAAGTACTTGGGGTTAGCCTTTAATGTTATGGGATCAAAACAGCAGAGTGCCAATAGGTAAAAAAATCAACTGAGCAATAATTTAGCAGTTGTATTAATGTCCCATGTTCTGACAACATGGGCATTAACACAACATGATAGCTTAAAGGGACACACATAGAAGGTCATGTGTGCACCTCCTCCAATGCAATATACTGCATTAGTATGCCTTTATTGCATGGCAACTCTTATATTCATTAGCAAAAAGCACAAAAGGGAGTAACAAAGGGAGCAAATTCTTCCATACCTTCACCTCCTCCTCCATTTCAGAGAGTCTCCGCTCAAGGGCTCGCTTCTCCTGTTTAGAAACCATTAAAAAACACCAATGATCATGCAAAAGGTTAAAGAAAGAAACCATTTTTTTCTCTGAAGGAAAATAATACTTTATATTTCTACAAACACACTCATAGGAAAGCATTCAAATACATTTTATAAATTGCATAAATGCAAGAATTTCTTCAGGTAAAGAAAGTGCAACCATCACTGGGATAGAACGTGTCAGCTGTTAAACTGACATGTATTATGTAAAATTGAAGTCATGGGGGGACTTCAGGGAGCCAGAAGACTACATTTCTTGAATTAACATGCACCATAGGACGATCACAAATTGTTAAGGCTTCTTTCTGAAGAGCTGACTTGAACTTTCTCACAGGGGACTGGAATCATTGGTTCAACACCCACCACTACTTGCTGTATCTAGATATTTACTAAAGAAATCTTAACCTATTATTAACTAAGCTTAGATTGCATGTCAGAAAGAAAAAAAGAAATCATAACCTCCTAACTATACAAATAATAGGAAATGGGACATGCTGGTTAAGGATGCGGTGAAATCTCCATCAGAGGTTTGTGAGAAGAGATCTGGGATAGCAAAGGACTGTTCATCTAGCATCTGTGAGGGTGTAGGGAGGAAGCAGTGGGTTGGATGACCTTTGAGGTTCTTTCTAAACCCATGATTCAAGGCTCACCCTCCTCACAGGACAGATCTGATGGGACAAGCTGCAGGTCAAGGAGAAATCAAATTTTGTTACTGACCAAACTTGTGTGCCTAAACGAGATCTTCTTTGAAAGAGAGGTGACATACTCTGGCATGTTTTTTAATGCAAGTAATTCAGGTTTTTTACTCCTGGAACTGGATTTAAACATACAATTCTCACAAGCAGCAGAAGCACACAAAATCTAATTTATGAAACAGTTTAAACAAAATGTTTAAAGGTTATAATATAGGCAAGAGTTGCAATTCAAGTCTCATCTGCTATAATGAATTTGACTGCTCAGAAAGAGGAACAGCTTACAGGTTCATATTTCAAGGTATAATAAGGCAATACCAACTTGACTGGAAATAATTTTTTGCTGAGATAGGTTTTTTTTGTTAATGAAAACTAGGAGGGCATGGAAACAATTGCACAATAAGCCAATTACCCTTCAGCACCGCAAAGAGAGATTTGTGGCTCTGTAGCATCTTGTGACAAGGTCAAAAAAATGCACTATGTTTTTACACAGTTTGGGAAGCCAAAAAGATCAAAACTCAAATATTACTACAAATTCAACTTCCTGGAGCAGTTGTGAAATATTTAATTAAATACTTGCTTTCCAGAAAATAATAGACTACATCCTCAGAGGCTTAGGAATCAGAGAATAGGATTGAGAAAGAAGTAGATACATACCCTTTTCTCCATCTCCATCATACTCGATCGGTCAGAGGTTTTTTCCTGTTTCTGCTATTTAAGTTAAAAATAGAAACTTATTAAAATAGAGCAGCATGCATAGGAGAAAGCTAGAGGGGAACATGGAGAGTCTCCATACCCACTTGCCTGGAAAGAAAGATGTCTTGACACAACAGTTTGTCACAAGCCCTACCCTGGGGGGCACATGGGGTGCCATAAACATTTTCTTGTGTTTTGTTGTACTGATATGGCAGGTGTGGTCTTGTTGGAAAGCCCGCATTATGCTGTATCCATTTACATTGCTTTTATCACTGTATAGATGTTATGCTGTCTATGCATATCTTTATGATTTGGGACATGGTTTAGCCAAGGGACTATGGCATGCATACTTAAGGACAATTGCCACTCCCAGACAGGCCGAAGGAGCTCCCAGATAAGCAGAAGGAGATGTTACTGAGTTGGGCACCCAAGGCATGGTCTTCCAATAATGAAGAAACTAAATCCTCTATAGAAAAGGCATCTGAGAGAAATGGCCCATCAGCCAGAAGAATTCCAGCTGCCTCTAGGAGACCAGACATTTCTGGAGGATTCTGGTGATTCATGAGCAATCACAATAAGATTGATGGATAGGGGAAGGGGCTTACTTGGAGGGTTTGTTTTTTTAAAGTTATCATAGTCCTGGGTCCTTGGATTCTTTCCTCCTGTGCACCCCCTGAGGTGGAGAAGGGTCCAAAGCCCCAGCAGCCAGAGCTGGCACAATCAGCAGGAAGCCTGACTTCTGGCAATACTGGCAGACCTCTCAGGAGAGCTAGAGTGTAGCCAGACAAGAGGTTAGTTGTCTTGCTTTTCTGTCTGTAAATGTATGGTCAATTTTGCTTATATAATTCGTTTGTCCTACATAATAAATCCTTTTGTTGCTTTGTCTCCTTAATAGTTGCCTGTGGAAAGAGCAAATCTTATCTCTGGGTAAGTGACATTCCCTCATTCTAGGGAAAGGAGCACCTAAAATTTCTTTCACAACCCAAAGGGGAGGCCACCTAGAGCTGGCAGAGATTCCCTTTCTGCAGCAAGTCCAGTATAAGGGCAGCTGAGCTGTGGCTTGCAGAGATAAGGAGTGATCCCAGATCAACCTCAGTCTGATCCTTGGGACAAGCAGTGGGAAAGTGGGGAGAAACTCAGGGCCCTGGGGGTGCTTCACAGACAGGTTTGACATAGCAACTAATATAGACATAATCATACTTTGCCCTTCTACTACATATTGCTACAGAATCCAAACTGTACGACAGCGAAGTACAATGTTCCTTTACAGAAAGTACACTGGCTCTTCCCTCAGATTCATGAGCTAATATCCATTGCTCCATCTTTATCTAACCATTCCTGGGGCTTCTTTTCTCCTTACCTGGGTTGCTTTTTCTAATTTTGATTTGATGTCAGCCAGCTCCAACTGGGCTTCCTGCAGTTTTGATTTCAACTTCTGGTTTTCAGACAGGGCACTTTCATAGAGCTGAAGCAGGAAACAAGATACACAAGTCAATGAGACTGCTTTAGAATGACGACATGAGCCTCAGTCTAACAGTCACAGCTTCAGGCCATACATTTGTGCACGTATACACACAGACACATATGCGTTGCTTTAAAACCTGCAGGTATCATTATTTAGGGCTGGGGACCAACTCCTGCAAGCAATCCAGTATATTCTGAAGAGGGACAAAGGGGCTCAGTTTCTCTGCTTGTGGCTCCTTAAAGGTGATGATCACATTGAAAAATCCTGCACAAATGTTGCACTTTTAAAGCCACAGCCAATGGGCAAATAAAAGGGAACAATTTTATATCAAGTAACCCACTTACCATAATAAAAGACATAGTTTCAACAGACCATTTCAGTGAGCTCACTGAACATACCTAAACAGTGTAACTATTGAATTAATCCAATATAACCTAACTGAGCATATACACTTTCATTTCAAAAGGGAAGAAAAAGGGCAAAAAGTCAAAGGAGACAGAGGTGAGAGACAGACAAAGACAGAAGGTAGCGGGGGAGAGAGAAAGAGAGACTTTTGATACGTTTTATTACACAAATATTAAAAACAAATGGTGAAAGTGCAAAGTGTGTGGAACTTCCAAAGGTCCCACATGAAACACTTGCTGGTGACAAAAATACCGTGTCACCAGAGGTTGGAACCCCTCCCCCAGGCCTCTCATGGGGTTATACATGGAGATGTCCATCTTCCACCTTGCAGAGGGTCCTCTCGAGGGCCAGCATGACGCAAATTGCTTCAAGTTGGTTGCAAGATGAAGAGTCCAAATTCAAATGACAGCGTGTGTCTGGATCAGAAGGTGGAAGAGTTGGAGGGACGGCCCCTGTAAGCAGGTTTCTGAAGCTTTTCAGAGTCACCACCTTGTCCTTGCCCAGCAGGAAGTTGGCCAGGCAGATCATGCTCCTCTTGGCTACTTGGTATGGGATAAAGATGATGTACAGTCTCAGATAAGTTCAAGTCCAGTGTGCCAAAGAGGCTGCTGAAGGCAGCAAAGAGTGGCAGCAGGTGGGGGCAGTCCAGGAAGGCACAGAAGAGCATCTCTTCCACCTCCTCCTCCTCACAGAAAGAGCAGGCCACCAATGCTGCCAGGTTTAAGTGGTGAACATAAGTGTCCATGGCCACGGCCCCAAGCAGCAGCTACCACTGGAAGTCACCAGTTCTTTTGGCAATGGGCAACTTGTACAGGGTGCCTCAGGCTGGGGAGGCTTGCTTTGGTATTACTGTCAGTAGGCGCTGCCTCCAAGTCACATCAGGGCGGGCTGTGAGGACACAGGCCTGATGTACTTTGACTGCCCGTGTGTACAGTGTCTTCTCAGACAAGATCTCAAGGCAGAACCCTTCACTGTTCTTGCTGGGCACAGGGAGAAACAGCAGAATGCTCGGTTCACCTGTACACAGCCAGAGAAACAGACAGTGATAGAGCAAGCTGTCACTGAGGAGGGCTTGTCATGTGCTGAGATGGTCTTCTAGGACAACAAGTCTTCTACGGCAACACACAGGAGGGACAGTTTCACTTCAGCCAAAGGGACAGAGTGCAGGCCCAGCTGGTCAGCTGGGGCTTTGGCCAAGAGCTAGGTAGACCAGGCTGAGTTGAAGAGGTGAGTCAGCTTGACAGTGTGCAACCAGACCAAAGAAGCAATGAGGCTTCTGGGGGAGAGGCTGAGACAGTGACAGAGAGGAGAGCCAGAGCCAGAAGAGAATTTCGACTTGTTAAACCTTTATAATACAAGTATTAGAAACAAATTGTGAAACTGCAAAAGGTACATGGGCCCTGCCTGGGGCCAAGCATCAAACACCAGTCAGCAAAAATAAACCAAAAACACCCCCCAAAAAACAAAAACCCAGACATTGAAACCCTCTCCCCAAGGCGTCTCATTGGGTTACACATGTAGAACCAGCTGTCCATCTTCCACCTTGCAGAGGCCCCCCTTGATGGCCAGTATTATGCAAACTGCCTCACATTTGGTTGCAAGATGAAGAGTCCAAATTCAAAAGGTGACATGTGCCTAGACCAAGAAGTGCAAGAGTTGGAGGGCATCAAAGCTGGTCCCTGTAAGCAAGTTTCTGAAGCTTTTCAGAGTTGCCATCTTGGCCTGGCCTAACAGGAAAGGAAGTTGGTCAGGCAGATCATGCTCCTCTTGGATACTTGGTACAGGATAAAGATGTACACAGTCTTAGAGAAGTTCAGGTCTAGTATGCCAAAGAGGATGCTGAGTGCAGCAAAGAGCAGCAGTAGGTAGAGGCAAGTCCAGGAAGGCATGGAAAAGAGTGTCCTCCTCCTTTAGAAAGGGCAGGCCACCAATGATGCTGGGTCTAAGTGGCAGACAAAAGTGCCTATGGCCAGGACCCCAGGCAGCAGCCACCATGGGAGGTCACAAGTCTTCTTAGCAATGGGTAGCTTGTACAGGGTGCACCAGACCAGGTGGGCTTGCTCTGCTGTTGCTACCACCAGGCACCACCAGAGAGAGAGAAAAATGGCCCTCCCATTCAATTCGTAAATCCACTGAGGTTTTCTGTTTCAGAGAGACATGGCAACTGCATTTAGGCAAACAGTGCTGGAATACTATGAGTCCTGAATATTGACTGGCTCTTTAGGACATTCCCATTAATAACCTGGATGGATTTCTCTTATGGAGCTGCATATTTATAAAACTAAGATGAAGTACCTCTCAGTAGTAAACCCGTAGGGAAATTAAGATAATTCTATCCATTTACCTTTCATATAGTTTTGCTGCTTTTGTATGTATGTGTGCAATCTGGGAGCATATTAAGACTCATTTTATCCTTTAATATTAATTTTTTCAAGGATTAAATCAAACATGGGAAAAATGTAAATTGAAGAGGGCACTGCAACTCGCAAGGACATCTTTTCTTATGTAGTGCTATTCTTCATCTACATTTTCCATGTCTGCTCTTCCCCATAAAAATAGGTTAGGTTTCATCCTCATGCAAATTCAAAACAGATGAGGTACATCATGAAAATCAACTGGTTACAAACATTAAGCAAATATTATCAAGTGATAACGCCAAGCAAGCCTTGCCCAAAAGGCAATAGCTGCATGTTAAACAGCAGTGTCTGCCATTTGAAAAGTATAGATGAAGTACACACGTACTTAAAAAAAAAAAGCAAACTCGCTCAAGCCAGAGCACATTTCCAGTCTGCTTTCATCCCTAACCCTCCATTCCTACATATTTCACTTTCATAGCTTTCCTTGAGTCTCTTGTTCCTTCTTCAGGGCTGTAAAGAACAGCGGAGCGTTGCACTTGAACAAACTTTCCGTGATTCTAGTACAGAGTGAATTCAAGAGAAAGAAGCTCTTTACAAGCTAAGCTTAAAGCAGGATCCCCTTGCAAACAGAAGGGTTGTTGAACAGGCCATTCCTGAAAACATTCCCCCTTCTTTGTTCCTTCTCCGCTCCTCTTGTTAAAACCAAGGTTTCTGATGGAAGGCTACAACTGGAATGGGCAGTTGTAGTGTAAAACAGCACACCTAAAGCAGCCCTACCTTTTTATAGTCCCTGTTACTCTCGTCTTCTGTTCTGGCGCTGAGAGAGGCCAAGCGGTTCTCTCTCCGGGTGTAGGCGCTGGAGCGGCTGGAGGCACGATCGCTGTAGGAGTCACTGGTGGTAGGGTTTGTACCTGCCAGTTCCAACCTAAACACATAAGAGCTGACACTTAAAGAACAGTTTGAGAACACTTGAAATGCTGTCAGTATGAATGTGACTGGTCAGGGCTCAAGCCTTCTGGGAAAATACCTGCCAGACAGCTAAAAGAAATCACTAATTCAAGTGTTGCTGATAGTATTCAGGGTCTCTCAAAGCAAACAGTTTGAAATGAACTTCACATGGGGAATCTCTGACTGATGAAGGCCAACTGGCCACCTAATTTTTAGAAAAAACTCAGGGCAGTGGTAATTGGGCCCAGCCACGCTAGGGCAGCACCTGCTTCCAATCTTTTCCTTGAAGTTATGGTTCTGTCTGGATGATAGGGTGGTTTCCCCACTCACTCAGGTAACAGGGGTCTAGGCAGCCTCCACTGCTCCAAAACTCCTGCTTAGGCATGTGTGTCAAAGGTCTGGATGACCTCTCACACATACACCATGATCCGGAAGGACAGATGACTACCAAACAAACAGACAGGTAACAGGGAAAGAACTGATGTCTTTCCCTTAAACTCAATAAGCAGCAACTTGAAGGGAAGAAAAGTGACTTGGAAGTTCACCTGAGGCAAGAACCTTACCCTGGGCAACCTGCTTTGGAATCAAAGTTTGGTCTAAGGTGCATTTCCAAATTTATTTTTTATGGAGGTAATGAATGGGACCTGGGAAGCTTGAGTTGAGTTGAGTTTAGTCAGGCTGGGTTGTGGGGGTGGGAGGGAGAGAAGGAGGAAGACACTGACTTAGGTTAGAGGCAGGGAAGCAGAAGTGAGTGGGGTGGACTGGTTTTGAACTTTTGGATATTGTGTGCACGTGAGCTTGTTCTGTTATACTATCTTCTTTTCATATCTTACTCTGTTTTCATAAGTTATTTTGGCTTTTAATGTAAGCCACTCTGAGCCTTGGAGAGGGGTGGGGAAAGGGAGATGGCCTATCAAACCAAAATCAACCAATAAGCAGTTTATGCTACTCATTTTATGTACTGTGAAACCAGGAGGCAACATACATGCATCTTGTTTATACATATTAATTAGAAAGTATGCAAGGGAAAACTCTTACCTGGAAAGTCTTTCATGCTAAAAGGAAGAAGGAAAACAAAAGGGGAAAAACAGGATTAGCAATTAGCAGAATTAACACTTCAAATGAAACACTGCAGGAATGGCATTTAGGAGTAATTTTCAATCTTGAAATCAAGTGGCCAGGGGCCCAATTAGCTATCACATACACAAATAGTAACTTCCTGATCTTTGCCCATAACCTCTTGAACTCTTTGGCTTCACTGAAACACTTTAGATTTCATTCCTTTCTAGATAAGGTGAAAGTTAACAGACAAGTCTGGTCAAATTGCAATTTAAAAAAAGAATTGCAATGTTTTGTGGCTGATGCCAAGGGGAAATCGAAGCCTAATGAGACTGCATATAAAATATGGACCAGGATCCAAGACTACTCTGAATTTAAGACAACCCCCCATAATTAGATTCTATACACGGAAAATTTGTGAATTTGTCCTCCACATTGTTGCAGCAAAGAAAGCAGCAGTAGGGAGGCAGGGAGTGAGGGAGTTAAGAAGCTTGACTGCTGCCTTTCCTCCTGTACCGCATACCTTGCTGCCTGTCCACTCCTGCCCCACAGCACGTACCCCCTGCCCCCATGTTGCCTCGTACACTATTTTCTCCCTGCCACTCCTCCCCACCCACCTGCCCTTCCCCTCCGCTGCTGCTTACCCTCCGTTGCAGCTCCAGCTCTTGCCCAAGACACAGAACACCCAGCCTCTACCCAGACAGGCTGTGGCAACTGTAGTGGCAGCAGCCCCAGGATTGTGATGGAGCTGAAACTGGAGCTGTCACCACTGCTGCTGGGCAGGAGCCAGCATATGCTCTGTGTCCTGGGAACTGCAGTTAAGGGTAGGGGGCAGGGGGAGGCGCAGGGCAGAGGTGAGGCTGGGATGGCTACTTATGCATTCCCAGAATACAAGATACAGGCAGCCCCTGCTTAACACAGTTTTGATTAGTGCTGTTTTGCTATGGTGCTCATTTAAAATTGATACCTGGTTTCGCTGAGCACTCAGTGAGTTTTGCTATAGCACTCAGTGGAATCAGCAAGTTTTGGCAGGAAGGCAGGGAGAAGCAGTGGTGGTGGCGGCAGCAGCAAGCGTGGCAAATGGTAATGAGTGGGGGGGGTGGGCTTGAGCATGGGCGGTGGGGAGAAGCCAGGCACAGCTGGTGAACACAGACTGGTGGGGTGGTGGAGCCGGCCGGGGGTGGGCTTTACAGCCGGCTGGGCACACAGCATGGACACTGCAAACCCCCCTGCTCCCAGTCAGCTGCAAACATCCACCCTGCTCCTGCGGGATGCTCCACCGCCTGAGTTCACCAGCTGAAGCATGGGGAGAAGTGCGGGGCCTGCGTCGGTGCCCAGGGTCAGGGCCAGGGCCAGCGGGGACCTACACCCAGGGTGGGCCAGCAGGAGTGTGGGGCCCGGGGCCCGGGCCAGCAGGGGCCTATACCCAGAGTGAGGCAGCAGGAGTGCTGGTGCCCAGGCTGGCATGTGGGGCCAGCAGGTGGGCAGAGGTGACAGCGGTGAGAAGTGGTGCCAACCAATCACCTATATTTACATTCATTCCTATGGGCAAATGGATTTCGCTTTGCACTCTTTCACTTAACGCTCGGTTTTTCTGGAACCAAATAAGAGCACTAAGCAGAGGTTCCTTTGTATCCCCTTGGTGAAGGGGAGGGACTACTGGCTCCTATGGCCAATCAGTGGTGAGGGGCGGGGCTGCCACCTCCTCAACCAATCAGCAATGGGGGTGGAACCACCATGACCCTTGGCCAATCAGCAGTAAGGGGTGGGACCATTACAAAAAGACCAACTCCCTCCCTCCCTAGTTGGCTTGGAACCCTGTTCTTCCTGGCTGTGTACCGCTCTACTTCTAGACACAGCCAATAGAATTGCAAGGACAAATGACTGACATGTATTTCCACCAATGAACTGAAATACAGAATTTTTGCAATCCATTCCTCATTTAGAAATGGACAGGGGATAAAGAGTTTTTTTTTTTAAAAAAAGGATGGTCTGATATAAAACAGGACCTATGGCCACCCTAGGTGGGGCAGAGGTAGCAGGGGCTGGAGCCACAGGAGCCACCTGTCCCCCCACTCTTATACTCAAATCCAAGGTGAGAGACCATTTCCTCCCATGATGAATAAGGAAAAAAAAACCTTGCCTGGGATTAGAGTAAGTACACTATGTCTGTAGCAGGTATCCCAATGTAATCAATTAAAGCAGAGGAAGTTCTAGGTCAGTTGCACATATTTAGTACTTCCTCTAATCTAGTTCACATTAGACAGACTTGAATTCCTCCCCTACAAAGGTTAACAATGGCTAAGAGAGAGCAGGTCATACAAGGAGAGGCTGAAAGACTTGGGACTGTTAAGCCTGGAGGAGAAAAGACTCAGAGGAGACTTGATGGCAGCCTATAAGTATATTAGCGACATACATCAGGGATTGGGGGAACATCTGTTCACCTAGGTCCCCCAGGGGAAGACAAGAAACAATAGGTACAAACTGATTGCAGATCACTTCAGATTGGACATAAGGAAAAACGTATTTACAAGTCAAGTGCTGAGGGTCTGGAACAGACTCCCTGCCCCCAGAGATGGTACAGTCACCCATCCTGACAATCTTCAAAAAGCATCTTGATGCTCATCATGCTGGGGTAATCTAACCCCAGCAGTCTTTCCTGCCCAAGTACAGGGGGGCTGGACCCAATGATCTTGTGAGACCTTTTCCAGCCCCTAACATCTATGAAATGATCTTGCCTCTCTCTCTTTAACTGCAAGCCTAAAGTAGCCATTTCTGAAGACTGCTAGTCAATTTTTGCAGAACCCAAAAATCTGACCCATAAATGGAATCAGTGGAATCTGACCCATAAATGACATCATAAATGGAATCATTCACAAAGGTTTGGTTGTCTCATCTTCTTCTGTTGCACACTAATTGGTTGCATACTCATTTCTAAATTAATTCATGCCTTCTAGCTCTGGTGGAAGAAATGTCCAGTGAGTCACGTGAATAACAAAGAATAATAGAGTCAGTCCTCTTCCCACCTCCTGGGTATGTATTAAAACTCTGGAAATCCACAAAAAGCTATCGCTTCCCCTGGGAGCAGAAGGATTCTCACTTTTCAGAAGCCAGGTGTGAATGCAAAGCTCTAAGAGGTGCAGGAGGTTCATAAATGGGGCGGAGGTTCTACACTGGGGGCAGGTTGGGAATTTCTGGTGCAGAATACATTGTACCTCCTTTCCCCTACAATTTCCACTGACCTGCAAACTACTTGAGTTCTATTCTTAGTGCTACATTTGTTACAACCCACTTGCACTCAAGCCAAAGACAACCTCAGCCAACTTAAGCACAAAATAAATCAAAGGATGGTTTTGCTTGGCACTATAACATGACAGAGGTTACCTGTGGTAAGCCATGTTTGTTAGTAAGAGTTCTGTGGGTTGGAAGGTTCTCCATTATATATAAGTGCAGAAGTCAAATGGTAGCAGCAAAAATGATATGCAACATGACTCCACAATACTGAAAATCCTCAAAAGGAGGATTTGAGTGTTGTTGTAGAGGCCTTTTCAGAGGCACAGAAGAGAGGGCGAGTGGGGTGGGGGGCAGGGGGGAGCACTGCATTTATTCAACATGCATCTTTTTTGCCCAAAAAATAGCTGCTGGAAATAAGAGTGCAGAGCTTCAACAGGGAAGTGCTGGGGGAAGAGGGCTCAGTCATGAGGAAGGTATACTCTCTGGTCCCTCTTTGAGCCAGGTGGGTAGTCAGCGATGCCTACCAAATTTGCTGAGGGCTAGCTGGCTGGCACAGAGAAGCCTGGCAGTTTGACTCCAGTAGGATTGGGTCCTCACCTGATATGGTGGCTAGTACCACTGATTAAGCCAAATTCTTTGGCTGCTCTTCTCTTTTCAAGCTGAGCTGGGGGGGAAGGGGAGGGGGAGCCAAGAGCACCTGCCAAGTCAATGGAGGGCTTGATCCTGTTGGAGCTGAACTGTTTAGTCCCTCTAAGCCAGGTGTGCCCTCAGTTGACTCCACAAGTGCTGCTGGCTAGGATTGGCTGGTACTGCTAGCTGCCCACCCAACTCAACTTGAGAAGATTAGAAGGGCTAGCTATTTTGACTCAGACAGAAGGGCTTCTTACAGCTAGTGGGGGTTAACAGAACAGCCACAGTTTTTTGCATTCCCCCACTTCAGTTGCCTACATTTTCCCCTGTGGAAATGCCGTACTTACTGGTACTTCCAAGGAAAAGTCTTTTTTTTCTTCATTCCACCTTTCAAAAACAAGGTACATCTTATTCAGGGGCATGTGGTATGAAAGAAAATACAGTAGTAAAGGAAAGAGATTCACAAGCCTTTGTTGTTAATGTGAGAAAACCTGCTTTCACCATAGAAAAGGCAAAATGGGCTTCTTCAAAACATTTTTTCTAGATGCAAAAGACTGGATATATATACACGTAAAAGAAGGATATTTAAAAAAAAAAAGAATACTTAAAAGTGATTACCAGAAATGACAAAGAAAGAGACAAGGTCTGAGTCTACACATTGCTTCCATGAGCATCACGTGGAATTCCCTGGGGCAGGTCTCAGTTTTCTTTACTGAAAGATTCCTACAGGTCAGGAGTCTACAACCTGTGGCCCTCAGGCCAGATCTAGCCCACAAAAAGGTTGGATCCAGTCTAGGTAGGTCTATCCCAGCCTGGAACAGCACAGGACAGTTAGTGGCAGAGCTGTGCCTAGCCACCTACCCACTCTCCAGTATCTTCATCTGCAGCGAGTTAAGTCAAGTTAGCTCAGGCAGCTTTGAGCTCTCCAGGGGTCTGGATGTGTGTGGCCTATGGCACGGGCCAGGTTGCAAGCTGCTGCCTCTGGCAGCGAAAGTTTGCCAACCCCTGTTTAGGCAACCCCATCAGCTAAACAAACATCTTAGAACTGAAGAAAAACAGCCAACTAGGGGACAGCAGCATATGCAAAATGTATGGCTCTGTCTTAAGTTAATTTAGTATATTCTAAAGTTCA